CTTTCCTATTTCTCTTCCTTGCCTCTCTCTTCCTTTCCCATTTCTCTTCCTTTCCTATTTCTATTCCTTGCCTATTTCTCTTCCTTTTCTATTTTAATTTGTTTTCTATTTCTCTTCATTTCCCATTTCTATTCCTTTTCCTTTCTATGCCTTTCTATTCCATCCATTTCCTTTCTTATTATATTTTTATCTACTATCATCTATAATATTTTTTTTTGATTGCTTGTTTAGGGTTTGGTCTTGATTTATCTTTGATTTTAATTTGCTATGTATAAGGCTATCTCTTTCGAGGGATGCATCCGGCAGCGAGAAGGTTCTGATGCTGTAACTCGTTCGAGTTGGTGATTTTAGTCTTGCTATTCCAGTTTCCAGCCCTCGACCTGCAGCCCTCCAACCACCAGCCTGCATCCTTGCTGTTCTTGCTTCCAGCCACCGTCCTGCAGCTTTACGAGCCTTGTTTCCAGCCGCCGACCTGCAGTCATTTAGTCACCAGTCCGCATCCTTGCTGTTCCTGCTTCCAGCTGCTGACCTGTAACCTTGCTGAACCTGCTTCCAGCCGCCGACCTACAACTATCCAGCCAACTGACATGTAGCCTCACTGAACCTCTTTATGGTTGTAGCCATCCAACGACCTATCTGCCGCCTTGTTGAACCTATTTCAAGCAGCTCACTAACCGCCATCCCGTCACCAGTTGGCTGTCCTACCAGAGCACTTTGTCATTGCCGCACCACCCTCACGGGCTGTTTTTGTGTTTTGTGTTATTTTTATTCTTATTTTACGGAGTTGTGGTTGTGACTTGATCGTTTGTGTTTTTGTTGAAGAGTCTTATTTTTGACTTTTGCAATAAATATTTCTGTTTTTGTGGGTATCAGAGCTGGGCTAACCCTAGTCATATCCTAGGGTTTTCTAGCATCCTTCTTACTCCCACCAAATTTTTTTTTCTATTCTCTAAATGTAGCCAAAACTTTATCCTAACCTTAATTTCCTCTTCTTGATTTTGAAAAATAGCAACACTAAATTATTTTTTTCGTCCTTTTTCACCTCCCACTCCAAACCCTTGCCATGCCACTAAGGGGATCATGCCCGAGCCTACAGTGGGAGATCCGTCGACTTCAGTGGAGGCTTGTGGATATTGAGGATGAAACCTGTGGGAGATGTTAATTGCCCTTGACCAGGATTTGAAGAATCGAATGGGAGCAAGAGAAGATGAACCAACTCCCTTCCATAAGGAGGATTTTAGTGATGCAGAAGACCGGTCACGATGCTTTGGAATCCAGTATCTGAGGAGGCCAAGAGAAAAGCTATCATATGGAGAATGGGACAATCTGAAGATGAAACGGGAGATTCCGTGCCAGTTCCCACCAGCTTACTATAGACAGAAGGTTCAAACTAGCTACGGAAGTGGAAAGACCACATCACCGGACAACCTTCAAGTCTTACAAGCAGAGCTCAACCTCAGGGTCTTATAGCCAAATTACACCCTGAAGAATATCCAAGATGACCTCGTCAGAGAGAAAGCTAGGTCAGAGTAGAGAATAGGTGGAATTATTCTGCATCCCTAAATATGTCACGACCAAAAATTGCTTCATATGATATGAGTTTGGGCATAGTGAATCAGATTACACAACCAGGGGAGTGATCACTTTCACTGATTAGGGAGCAGTCGAAATAAATGATGATCCGGAAGAAGAGGAAGACTTCAGTGAGTATTCTCAATTTTCTGCCAAAGAGGAAGAGGCGCCATCGATTTCAATTGACCTCAAGATATAGGCTCTAGCTGAAGTAACAATGGCTGTGCTAGAAGGTAGCAACTCTAATTTAATGGACATTCTGACAGAGTATGAGATTGTGGTGCATAAACAACAACAACAACAATAACAACAACAACAACAATAACAACAACAACAAAACCTTTATCCCACTAAGTGGGGTCAACATGAATCCTTTTTCTCCATTGTGTCTAATTTAGTGTTATATTTTCATTTAATTCTAATAAATTAAGATTATTTTTTATATAATATGCCAAAGTTTTCCTAGGTCCACCTCTACTTTTCTTAACATAAGTCGAATTTAAAATATCTACTCTTATAATCAGATCATTAGATGGTCGTTGTTTAATGTGACCAAACCATCTAAGATAACTATCTAATTTTGTCCGTCACTAGAGCTACACCAACTCTATCACATATATATTCATTTTGCATTTTGTCTCTAAGTGTAAAGCCACTCATCCACCTAATTATTCTCATCTCGACAACACTTAACTTAGTTTTATGCTTCTCTTTTAAAGGCCAACATTCAACGCCATAGAGCAATGCATCGAGCTAGCATTTTGCAGGTGTTGAGAGGAGCATCAGTAGGACTGATCTTGGATGTTCAAAAGGGGTCATAAGCTTGAGGAGCTGATATCAGACACATGATAACCCCAAATAAGAGACATTCATACATTTTATATTTATAGACTCATCCTTGAGTTGTCCCTACTGAGGGAGGTCTCACATGTCAGAAATGAGGCTCTTTTGTGCCATGTTGGGAAGATTTCAGAAAATTGTTCAGATGTTAGATTCATTTCAGTATGCTACCCATCATCAGATGTCCAGCCATGAGGGATGAACCCCTAACTCTGAAATTTGTCTCAGGAGCATCATGGGGAAGGAAACTCCTCAATGGGATCCAGGTCCTGTCAATGTAGAAGATGTCTCTCTTGAGTGCTTGCTAGTGAAAATTGTGCAACCTGACACAGATTTTACCCCAAAATTTATCTCTCCTCATATATTGGTTTATCAGCTGCATTTCGCTGAGTACGAGAAGTCGAAAGAGAATGTTCCAGACTTAAGGGCTCATGATTTACATTGCGGAAACCTACATCTCTATACAACTTTAGCTTATGATGTGCCAAGAGATGATTCATATTTATTCTGTCAAGATGTGTTGTGCAATGATATCACCTACTTGATAGACCTCCCAGGGGACTACAGTATCCTTGCTATCTTTTATATCGGGAACCTGACACCGTACTTTGGGTGCTTAAAAGCTTCGACGAATGATGTCGAAGCTTCATCAACTCTGGGAGATTGATGGGAGGTTTGTTGGGTGGTTGGCTGAACTGATCAGGGTACGTTCCAGTCCAGCAGGAGCCTGGACCGCCCGGCCTTCATTTGGGCCGGAATTACTGCCCCTTCCCCCTCCCATTTTTCTGTTTGACTTCTTTCCATAGAGAGATTCCTTTCCTATTTCTATTCCTTGCCTATTTCTTTTCCTTCCTTTTCTATATCTATTCCTTTCCTTTTTATCTTCTTTTCCAATTTCTCTTCCTTTTCTATTTATTTTCTTTTCCCCTTCTTTGCCTTCCTATTCCATCCCTTTACATTCCTATTACCTTCTATTTCTACCCAGTATCATCTATTATATTGTTATTCGAGGGTTGTATCCGATGGTGAGAAGGTGCGTCGGTTGTAACTCATCCGAGATTATGATTATCGCCGCTTGTTGCACACTTCCAGCTGCCACCAAGTTCTCCTACAGCCTTGTTGTTCCAATTTACAGCCCCCGACCTGCAGCCCTCCAGTCACCAGTCCACATACTTACTGTTCCTGCTTCCAACCTCCGGCTTGTAGACTTGTGGGCCCTGTTTCTAGCTGTCGTCCTGCAGCCATCCCGCCACCAGTCTGTATCCTGGCCATTCATGTTTCCAGCCACCGGCCTGCAGCCATCCAGCCACCAGTACGCTTCCTTGCTGAACCTGTTTCCGGTAGCCTACCTGCAGCCTCGCTGAACCTATTTCCGGCCGCAGACCTGCAGCCGTCCAGCCACCTATTAGCTGCCTTGTTGAACCTGTTTCCAGCCAGCCGCCATTCGCTGCTGGTCGGCTGTCCTACCAGAGCACTTTGTCATCCTTCATCCCTGTACTGGCGCTTCCACCTCCAGGCCTTCCATACCAGCCGTTCTTACCCTTGTGGGCTGTTTATGTGTTTTGTAATGTTTTTGATCTTATCTTGCAGAGTTGTAGATGTAACTTCACCGTTCTTGTGTTTGTGTTGTTTGAAGAGTTGTTATTGTGCTTTTGAATTCAATAATACATATGTTCGTTCTATCATGATTTTGGCAACTCTGGCATCAGATGATATTTTTCTATTAGTTTTAGTATTTAGCTTTTTAGTATTATTCATCAACTCTTTGTAGTACTTTCCTAAAACATGCTGTTCTGGACTTTAATACTCTACGAATTTATGTATGAATTTTTCTTGAACTCAAATTTATACTTAATAATTGTATGAGACATATTGCATCACCATGAAAATTGATTTTGAACTAGGGCTTCATCCAACTTCTCTCTATTTCTTTTGCATCTGTTTTGTGGTATGAAGCGATATTTGACGGTTATTGATTGCTGAATTTGATCACCTTTCACCTGTTGTATCAAGTTTAGAGAGGTTTTAAAGGGTGAAACATATAAAGATTTTGAGAATTGCTGATGGATTACGCTGAAATGTGCTTAGTTATGCACCGAATTGAGCTCATGAGATCTTGGGGTATTTCTCATGAAGAATATAATTTATTAATTGAATTAATCATTTAGAATCAAAGTTAGTAGTTTTGTTGCGCTTTTTAATATTTAGGTGATGTTATTGTAAATAGATTTATTTTTGTACATAGACATATTTGGATGATACTTTATAAATAAAAAATATTTTTCGTACTCACAATTATTTCCCTCCTATAATTGTTTTTAAATATAGATGTTTGCTAGATGCATATGAGAACAAAAGGGTTCTGAGCACCCAATGCTTTCTTAAAGCAGACATGGCATTAGTTATAATTCACATTTATGAGTTGTGTATTTCTATTCATTATCAGAAGAGCTAATTATTATTTGATCATTCACAGTTGCCCAAACTAATCACCGTAACTAACCTATATTTTTTGCATTAGAAATCTTTGATCTCAGATTCACTCTCACTATGGTATCATTATGATGGAGTTCTTTTGATTACTTCAGGACAATACAAATTTCACTTTCATTAATTCCAAGCTCTCCCTATTGAGTCTACAATGGAGGAGCAACTCTCTCTACTTCTTGATTCAGCTTCTCTTTTCCCTCTGCCACATGGTCTGTATAATCTCATGCACCAAAAATCAAAGCAAGTTTCAGAATTTGAGCAGAAATACATCAATTTTTCTTTGTTGTTTCAGGGTTGAAGTTCTCTTATGGTACATCAGGATTTAGGGCAGAGGGGTCGAAGCTGTCATCCACAGTGTTCCGAGTTGGTGTTGTGGCCGCACTAAGATCCCTGAAAACTGGCCATGCTGTTGGTCTTATGATCACCGCCTCCCATAACCCCGTCACAGATAATGGTATAAAGATTGCCGATCCTGATGGCGTTATGATGACTCAGGATTGGGAGCCCTTCGCTGAGGCTCTTGCTAACGCCCCAGATCCTCAAATTTTTGTTGAGGTCAGCCCATTTTATTTTTGGAAGATTTATATACATACCACTAAATTTCTATGCATTTACATATTTAACATCTAAACTTTAAGTTTTACGTACATACCACCTTATCTTTGCATGAAAAGATGTATTTCATTTATTAGGAGTTAAAGTGTTGGTATTTTTGTTGTGATATGAAAGAATTGAGTGGTATAAATGAAAAAAAAGTAAAATTTAGTTGTTGGATATGTTAATATATAGCAATTGGGGAAGATGTATGTAACTGCCCCTTTATTTTTTATTTTTGTCTCTGCTGTTGCAATTTTTATCCAATGCAATGATTATTGTGGTCTTGATATTTGTCACTTCTTTTTTTAATTTTGCTTCCCACTGATGCTTTTCGCTTTTGATTATGAAGCGTTTTCCTCTTTTGTGTGTTGGTTGACATGTTTAAGATCTTACATGTGATATTCAATAAAAATGCAGAAATTTTGCGAGACATATTACCTTGTTCTAGACTATTTTTCTTGGAGATTTTATGACTGTTAATTGTTAGTGATATTAGATATGGTATTTGACATGCATGATTTATAGATTGATAGTTAGCCAAGTAATTTCTTGTTATACTGCCACAGATGCTGGTAAAATGATGAAACAGTGAGTTTAGTTAATTTTGCTGAAATGTTCATTATATTTTTCATTTCCAGCATGTTCTTTTCGTAGTTTATATTTTTTTAATGATATGAATTTTATTTTAATAATGGTTTCCTTTATCTTTCTTTAGTTGGTTCTTAATTTTGTCAAGGAAGAGAATATCCCATTAGACGGCGAAAGGTCTGCAGAGATCTTGTTGGGAAGAGACACTAGACCTACTGGTGAAGCTCTCCTTCAAGCTGCTAAAATGGTAATATCTATTCATTCTACAAATTCTTCTTTTACTTTCTATTGGCCATATCTGCTTGATGCTTATTCTCTTTTGTTGTTTAGGGAATTAAAAGCATCATTGGTTCTGTTGCACTCGATATGGGGATAGTAACAACTCCTCAACTTCATTGGATGGTTCGGAGAAAGAATATGGGAATGAAGGCAACTGAGTCTGATTACTTCATGCAGCTCTCAGACTCTTTTAGGTCTGCATAATTAGTCTCAATCAAATAATAAAGATTCATTCTGATTTTAATTTGGAATACAGGATCCTGATGGATATGATCCCTAACAATAAAATAATGAATGAGACTGTAAGTTCTCAGCTTATAGTAGATGGAGCCAATGGTGTTGGTGGAGACAAGCTTCAGAAACTTAAAGAATTGTTGTCGGGCCTTGAAATCGAGGTGAGAAACACTAGCGAACAGGGAGAAGGTATACTGAATGATGGGGTTGGTGCTGATTTTGTTCAAAAAGAGAAGCTCGCTCCTCGATGCTTTGGTCATAATGATCTTGGACTAAGGTGAAGTCTCTTATTTTCTTTTGCATGAACTTTTTGATTCTATAAAACCCTGCTGCTTAATTCTTATTTGGGATCAATTTTTTTTCTTCTTTTTGTTTTTGTTTTGAAAAACATATTTGGTTAGTGTGTTTTTAAATATTTTTTTCTTTATTTCTAAAAAACAAATTAACAAATTTTTTAAAAAGCTCAAAATAATTTTTAAATGTGTTAAAAACAGTCACACTTTATTCAAATAGCCAAATATACTTTGTTTTAAATCAAAGCATAAAAATAAATAAATAACAATTGTGATCCCAAACGGCTCTTAATTGTACAGTTGGTTTTAGTGTTGCAGGTGTGCTAGTTTTGATGGGGATGCTGATAGGTTCGTGTATTTTTGTATCTCGAAAATAAGTAGCTGCAATATTGATCTTGTAGATGGAGACAAGATATTATCTATTTTTGCATTATTCATCAAGGAACAGCTGCATTGTTTGAACAAAAGTGAAACTGAGGGCTTAATTAATGTAATACCTGCGAAGGTTGGCGTTGTACAGACAGCTTATGCTAATGGCGCATCTACTGATTTCCTCAAACAACTTGGTCTGGAAGTTGTTCTTACTCCTACTGGCGTGAAATATCTACATAAGAAGGCTGCAGAATATGATATAGGGATCTATTTTGAGGCAAATGGACATGGGACTATTTTATTTTCAGAAGATTTTTTATCTAAATTAGAGAAAAAGAGCAATGACTTGGCGTCTTCGAATGCAGGTTTTTCTTTAAATAGATATATCTTCATTTAATTGTATCGTTATGTCTTACTAGTGAGTTCCTTTTCTTTTTGAAGGTTCAGAGCCTCATAGAGCTGCTTTAAGATTGTTGGCTGTGAGCAAGTTAATCAATCAGGCAGCGGGTGATGCTCTTAGCGGGCTTCTTTTTGTGGAGGTTGTGCTGAAATATATGCGGTGGTCATTGCAGAACTGGATTGAACTCTATGATGATCTTCCAAGTAGACAGTTAAAGGTAAAATACATTTACCAGCACTCCCACACTGCCCTCCCCTCGAAGTGCTTTTTAGATGAGTAGAATGGGCTGTTCATGCAAAACATTTCCAGCGAGATTAAAAAATTTTACATTTTTTTATCCTTTCAGTACATTTATGTGCCCCAAACTCAATGTTAACTACAGAAATGGTTGATAATCTGATAGTTTCACAATACAGATACGAATGAACCAGTGTTTGATAATTTCTTTGATTCATGATTATATTTAAAATTAGGTAAAGGTTGCAGATAGAACTGCTGTCATCACAACAAACACAGAAACACGAGTTTTGCAGCCCTCTGGTTTACAGGAAGCAATTGATAATGAAACTGGTATAATTTTGTATATTTCACATTATAGTTTTGAAGGAAATCACATACTTTATAATGGCAAATTTTGATGTAAAAAACTAGTAGCATTTGCTTTTTATTCATTGATTTTTCTCCCCAATCTTCCTGCAGCGAAGTATCGTCGAGGACGTTGTTTTGTTCGGCCGTCCGGTACGGAGGATATAATACGTGTATACGCTGAGGCATTTTCACAGGAAGCAGCTGATTCTCTTGCTGCGGCTGCTGCACATCATGTTGATCGCTTTGCTGGATTCAGAAACTGACAGCATTTGACTTGAATATAGGGGCACGGTCACAGTTTGGATGGAGCTTTTTGTTGGTAACTTTCTCGTAAACTTCTCTGCAGTTTCTTAAGTTTTTGAATATTTTTTTGAGATCATATTATCTGTCATTTGTAGAAATTTATATGCGAATAAGCTGCACGGGTTTTCTTTAGGAAACTGTTTCACATTGTGAGCTTGCCCTTTAAGACACAAAAACAAGATGTTAAAAATGAAATTATTGAACTTTGGTGAAATTGCAAATACAAATGTTGTCTTATATCATTCTGAATTTGTGGGTAATTATGGTTTTGAAATAGGTTGTGAATGGCTATCATAAACTTGGTTCATTTGTTTCATCGGGATTGCATCTTCATATGTTTCATCAGCAGTTTGTTTTGTTTAACTGAATTTCAAAAGGGACCACAAATAAACACATCTTTATGATTCACAGCATATTCTTTAGCATAAATTTTGATTGTAGGAAAATAAACTTTGATGTGAATGAAATAAAATAGGTGCCAAAAATTACTTAAATTTGTCAAATTGAAGAATAAACAATTATAGATTGACCTGAAAACTCACATTAAATGTCTGACACAGGGACATCCGAGTTGTGCAAATTCAAGCTCGAATGGGCTTGAATTGGTTTATCTGTTCGGCGTGAGTTGAACTGGCTTGGGTGGCCTGTGTTTCATGTGCTTGGGAGAAAATGGGCATCAATGCAGAGTAGATTTAACTTTAACTTGGGCAACGTGTAGGCAATGGTACATGCTCATTATTGTGCTCTTCATTTGAGGTAATTTGAGATTTTGAAGAAGTGCTTTTAATACTCGATAATTTTGTGAGTAGTGCATTGAGAGAAGTTAATACTTGGTAACTTTTTGAGTTAGAGTTTTTCCGTGTAAAAATGATGGAATATTATCCCCCTTTTACAGCGATCCCAATCAACACATATGATGAATGATATGATGAATCTTCTCATAATTATTCTTTTAATCTAATTGTTGAAATTTAAACCTGTCACTGTTAACACTTTCATGAGATCATTATCGACAACTTGTATATTCTAATCGTGATCAAAGGCATCACCAGTGGCGGCCACTACTAGATTGCTATTCGTTGTCTGCATTAGCCGAGTTCATGGGTGGGTAAGATTCTCGACTATCAATCATTTGAGCATGCCATCACTCGCAATTTAAAAATCTGTGACATTCAAGATCATAAAACAATACAATCTATGCCACTGTCATCTAGATATGTTGATATTCATGCTATTGAGGGATGTCAATGGCCATATACTTGCTAACCTCGATTTTGCCTTTTAAGAGACATCTTGCATCAAAGCTCCTCCAAGTACTTAGGAATGGGCCATCTTTGTGTTGATTTCCTACAAAAAAAAAAGATGGAGTTCTCAACTTTTTCAGGCTCTATGGTTTTCCCTTCTAGGGGTTTCCACTTTGAATATGTTGTTCCCTATGATTAAACAAAAAGTAGTTATTTAAAAAAAAAATAGATTTTTAGAAAATATGATAGAAATATAGCATGTCCGAAAAAAATATTGTTGTGGTTGTGCTGTATTATCATTTTGAGATATGTTTCTAATCCGTTTCAATCGATGTGCATCCACTCTCAGCATTTCAAATTAGAAAGTGTTCAATAATTAAATATTAAGTATTATTCTTTAGAACAAACATTGAATTATGGATGAGGAGGAAAGAGTAAGAAGAAGGGCACGCAAAGAGATGCATTAACAAGTGCTCCAAATGCTCCAATAGATTTTTCTTAAAAAAAAAATGACCATATTTTACTTTGAAAATTTTGTGACATTAACTGAAGGATCAGCAAGTTTTTAATATTGTGTACTTATAGTTAAAACAAGTGTCTTAAGAGAAATTAAATGCATCTAAGGTTACTTAATTTTGAGATTATTAAGGCATGTAAATGCTAAATCAGTGGTCTATTATTGAAGGGATTAATTTGATGGTGTTTAATGGGATTTTTGGCTAAAATTATTAAAATTATGCTCCATAAAATTATAAATAAGCCTTTATTTTTCACATGGAGTGGAGTTTGAATTTTTTTAGTCGAATTTGGATAAAGCGTAAAGATTTGAAGGATTTTAAAATATTATTCTAGATCGAAGCCAACAAACATAGTGATTATATGTTTTGGTTGTTTGTTGAACATTGTCGCATTTCCATTGTCACATGATTGCCATTGTTTAACTAACATCATCTAATTAGTGTCTCTCGATTTTACTTGTCCGGTTGTCATTGTCGTCTCCTGCCCTAGTAATCTATATTGCAATTATAATAAGTCAAGTTTGTATTCCATACTTAGTAGTTTCGTTTTCTCTAATTGAGTAAAAAGAGGACTTCTGAAACCTCAATTGTATAATAGATTGCTTCTACTAAGCTAGGTCCTCCTGATTTTTTCTTTTTCCTAGTATTTCATGTAAAATTTTTGGTGCATCTTCTGTGGTCTTTTTTAATAAAAATGTGTGATATCTTCAAGCAAAATTAAGGCATAAAACTTTCTTTTTTGCCGTGAAATTTTTAGTACTTTATATATCTGAAGGGAGATTTACACACATGACACTCAAAACCTATTAATTTACATGTTAAACACCTTAAACTCTAGATTTACCTACCTACCACGGTTGTTTTTAATACAACATATCTCTAATCACCCTCTGTACCTCTTCACCGCAACGAATAGTTTGTGCTAGATGAACATTTTGATATATGTTTCTAATCCGTTTCCATCGATGTGTATCCATTTCTCACCATTTCAAATTATAAAGTGATCAATAATAAAATTTATTTATTATTTCATTTGATCAAACTTTGATTTAACTAACTACTTATGGTGATTTTTTTTTTGTTGTGTTTGAGGACGAAAGAGTATAAAGAAGAGCGGGCAACGAGATACATTGACAATTGCTCCAATAGATTTTAAAAAAAAATTGATCATATTTTACTTGGAAAACTTTGTGACAGTAGCTGACGGATCAATAATTTTTTAATATTGTGTACTTATAGTTAAAACAAGTATCTTAAGAGAAATCAAATGAGTCTAAGGTTGCTTAATTCTGTGACTTTTAAGACATTTAAATGCCAAATGAACTAGCTATCATTAAAGGAGTTAATAAATACTATTTGATGGTGTGTTATGGGATTTTTGGCTAAAATTATTAAAATTACACTCCATTAAATTATAAATAAACCCTTCTTTTTGACATGAAGCTCAGTTTGAATTTTTTAGTTAAATTTGGATAAGACTTAAAGATTAGAATATTTTAAAGTATTATTCTTGATCAGAGTTGACATTCACAACTATCATCGTTTTGGTTGTTTGTTTATCATTGTCGCATGTTTATTGTCATGTGATTGTCTAACCAACATCATCTAATTATTATCACTCGATTGTACTTATTTGGCTGTCATTGTTGTCTCTTGTGTACTTTTTTTATCAGAGTGTGCAATATCTTCGTGCGAAGTTAAGGAATAAAACTCTCTTTTGCAGTAAATTTTTTAGTACACTATATATATATATATTATATATATATATATATATATGTTAGAATAGAACCCAAGATACTTCTTATTGATGAAAAGGGGGATAGGAATACCCATTACAGGATATATTAGATAGGAAACTAATAAAAGCATAATAAAGGAAAAAAAATAAAAAGCAAATAAGGTAATTAATTCAAAACGAAGGATCAACACTTTCGATAGAGCCAAAAAAGGTAGGAGAATATTTGGGAGTCATCACGAATAGTAAAAAACAATCAAAGGACAAAGGAAGAAGAAGGAATGAAGGCAGAGAGAAAGAAATCAGAAAACGTAAAGGGTAAAAAGCAGTTCCTTACTTTATTTATAGTGTGGGCGTATGAAACTAGGTGTCACATAATGATAAGTGTCACACCAAACATCCTTTCATATTTATCTAAATACTGTTTTATTACAAGTAACATCAATATAGGTCCCAAACATAGTATTTTATAAAGGGGTCTTCCAAGGCCACAGTCGGGAAATACCCTTCTCAATCAGCCTTCAGAGGACCTACTCGCCTATTCTAATATGCTGTACTTGATCGACATCGCGTTGAAACTTGCTCAGAACGGTCGACTCACGAAGTGCTCCTAGTTCACACAACACCTTTGCTTTCCTGCTTTGCAGTGTAGCGACGTTCGTTTGCAGTACCGCCTCCTATGTGTCCGTGGTGGCCAGACAAGTCGATAACTCCCGCATTAGATCTTCAGCTGAAGCTCCGATAACCCCTTCCAAAGGACCGATCGCTCCCACCGAAGGTCCAAATACATTCGTTCGCCGCTTCGCAAATTCGGAGGAAAGTTTCCGCCAATCATACTGCTCCTGCTGACAGCGCTGAAGTGGCCAAGCGAGGTTGAAAGAGTGGGAACAACTGCAGATAAAATATCCAGCAGCTGATGCCTCCCAGCATCGACCAATGGTGGAGGTGCGACGATCATACCTTGTGGTCCCATCGCGATGATGGGAGCAAATTCAACTACATCTTTTGATGGTTCGCTGTCTTCGCAATCCTCTGACCCAATTGATTTGTTTGTATTAAGATAATATCAAGAAAATTTTTACATACTTAAAAATTTGTCCATTGAAGAAAGGACCTTCCGAAGCTCGTTTCTCCCTCACAACGGGGTACCTTCATTTTTCTGTGGATTCGACTGGGGAGAGCTGGTGAATGTAGTTTCCTTCGGCTCCTTTTCACTGACCTCGATGCTATCAGCAATTAGGCCTTGCTGGCCCTCAACAATCATACCCACGCCAGGTTTGAGAGCCGAAGTTTGCTGGCAAGGCTCTTTCGGTGCCTACCCCTCAGGACTCTTAGATGAGTCGACTTGATCGGCCGACACAGGTTCAGTTTTCAACCGTTTCTTTTTTACAACCTTTTTCTTTTTTACAGAGGCAGGGATCTGAAAGCCAGCCATAGCCAGAAGTTCGAGATCCACCTTGTCTCGGCTCGTAACGTCAGCCATGATATGCCTCGACTATCTAACAAAAAGTTGGCGGCAAAGAACAAAATGCCAACTCTCTGGTCCTTTTTGTAGGGCTCATCGGGCATGAAATCCAAAGGAAAGTTAATTATTGAATTAATTTTCTCAATTTTTGTGTCATTGATAGTTTAATAGTTTTTATGTACTGATCGTAGCTATTATTATCAAAGAGCAAGAAAACTCGGGAAACTAATATGTATGCACCAAAACTGCCAGCGTGAATCTTAGGGAATCAAACAACCAAGTATATTTGTCGAGCAATCGAAGCGTCTGACTAAAGGAACATGATCTGAACTAGCCATCTGATGTCCCCGATCAGTACTTAAACTTCTTGCAAGGACATCTGGTCACAACCATTCCGCTGACTAGCTTTACCTCGACAGGAGCGATCATTGCGTGACTGGTCGCCTTGGTCGATCGAACTCAAACATGTCAGTCGTTGTATTACACTTAAATTGTAACACAAATTTGATAGTAATTTAGCACATTGCTTGCATCAAGGGCGATTTTCATAACTGTTCATTCCTTTCTGTAAATGTACAAATAGGTCCCTATAAATATAAGGTCAAAGGATAAATAAAGGGATTTCTCTAACTGTTAATTCCTTTCTGTAAATGTACAAATAGGTCCCTATAAATATAAGGTCAAAGAATGAATAAAGGGATTTTTCCCCCGACTTCTTTACCCGGAATTCTCTGGCTGCTCTACTATACTCTCTCTCTCTATCTCTCTCTCTCGACTCTAACTCTCAGAGTCGTTTTTACCAAAGGACAATGAAGGGTTTATTAGCATAGCAGACAACCAATGAGATCTTATTTCATCTTGTTGAGATGTCGACGTCTGGAGAATGTTGTCCTATTGAAACTCATAGGAAGTGCTAGGATTCTAAGGAGGTGATGACGACACCATTTAAAGACGGGCTTGCTCTTTCTTCGAGGAAATTGAAGATCATGACTTTGGAGATCGACAACATCCTTGGCAAGTACAAGAAGATGAAGAAATTTCGTTCAATAGATATATTGTCATTTGGATGCCAACTAGTGAATTGTCGGGATGACTTATCCTCCATG